AAGTTGCAGCAGAAACTCAGCAGGTAGAGCGGGTTGTAAGATTGAGCCCAGCTCCTGGCGGAGAATGCTGCTTTTGTGTCGTTGGGCAAGACACCTTGCCTGCTGGTGGTGGTCGGAGGTACTGGTGGCTCCTGTGTTCGGTAGCCTTGCCTTTGTCATTGCGCTCCAAGGCAGCTGGGGCTACACTGTAGCTCATCATCACCAGTGTGTGAATGTGTGTGTGTGAACGGGTGAATGAGACACTGTAGTGTAAAGCGCTTTGGAGTCTTGTGACTCTGAAAGGCTTCATGCAAATGCAAGTCATTTTTCATTTATCACTTTGGCCTAGTGATGGGACAAATGAAGCGATGCTTCGAGGCTTGCTTCACTTCGTAGAACACCACGTGACTAATCACAAACAAAGCATTGTTTTGCCTGAGTCACATGACTGTTTTTTTTCCGTGTCACTTCCAAAATAAAAGTTGCCAAAACTCACAGCTTCTGAGTATTGTTTTTGTTTGGTCCATCTATCTGTGTGGAGTTGATGCGAAAAGACTTCATTGACAGAGTTCATCCACAATTTCAGGATCACACCTGTCAAGTCTCTTGTTCTGGGCTTGAAACTGTTCAAAGTATTATTCACTAAAAATGTCTAGTATTAAGTTCGCGGGAAGCCCCTCTCTCTCACGGAGACTGGAGAAAAGCTTTGCTCCAGCAGCACCTTCCACTCTCATGTAGTTTTAATTACAAAACTAGACGGGATGTCCGGACAGACCTCGGAATCTCTCCGTCAGCGCTTCTCCTCAGGAACGTCAACACACCCCACTCCCCTCCGCTGATCCGTGATGTAGGAGGCGGATTGGATGCAACAAAACCGTTTAGACTGCAGTCACTTTCAAGAACGTAAGATTTGTAAGTACCACAAATGAAAGTGACCTGGGTCAAATAAAAAAAATAGATTTGTGCTTTCCACACTGTTCAGACTCAGGAAACATCAGATTTGATGAACTTTTGCCTGCAGTGACAGACACAATGTGTGTAGCATTTTAATGCATTGCAACATTACCTGGTACCACTAGATGGCACCACAGCTAACATGTTAGAAGTCTCGGGTCATGTATCGGCCAGTAGAAGAAGAGGAAGAAAGAAGATATCATTTCTATAGCGTAGTAGAGAATGCTTGGAAACACTTCAAAAGGCTTCAATGGTACACTACTAGTCTGGCCTAATTGAACAGCTGAGCTTGATGCGTTTTGGTAGTGTAGCATGTAAAAAGATAACGAAACAAAAATTTAGTTGAGCCACGCATCACCACACTTCGCGGCTTCATGGCTGATGGAAATATAAAAGCACTATTTGTTGCGTACAACACTTCACAACCGGCACACGACATCCGGTAACTGTCGTTGAACTCTACAAATAGATTTGTTATTGTGTATTGTTCTGCTATAGAACAAGCATTAGATCAGTGTCCAGTAAAGCTGAATTTGGAGATGTTTTGAAATGAGTAGGTCTGTTTGAAATTTGATGCCAAGCTGACAATGGCTAGTCCAGGTAAGCCAACTTACACAATCATCTTTGCTATGTTAAATAAACTCCAACCTTCAAATTTACAGTTCAGCTCATTAAACACCATAACAGCATTTGCATTTCTCCACTGCTTTTAGTTTTGCAACATAATGTTGTTTTAACTGAATTTTCTTTAGAGCAACTGGCTGTTATGATGTAATGTTAATTAATATCAACATAAATGTAAATGCATGAAGTCATTCACTACCATTGACGACTAAAGTCGTCATTTGCTGCATTTACTGTGTGGGCATCGGAACGAGCCCCGGCACCATGAGAGCAAACATCTCAGCTCTAAAGCCGATCTTCATCCGCGTACGTCACACGTCACCTAATCAGGAAACAGACAATCCACGTGTTAGATTGTTTTGGGCTGCTGCTGTAAAAAAAAGTGAGGCGTGAACAGGAAAAGCTTCTGCCATTCACAATTAGACAACGGATTATGAAAGAATGGATAAACCTCCAAACGCACGGATTCTTCCTGATGTAAGAGGTGAGTCTCCTCTTTGTTTCGTTAGTTTTGGCGTTGCCATCATCATAGAGCGCAACGTTCTGTGACTCTTAAAAAAACAGTAAAAATGCTGAAAAATGCTGGCAGCGAAGGTCTTTTCTGATCAGGAAATGGCTGGCAGCAAATGAGTTAATGTTAACAATATTACAAATTTAATATGAAAATTCTTAATTTTTTAATTTAAATTTCAACATTTTTATTCATTTTTTACCCAGTGTGTGTTTCCATAAAATATAGAGACTAAATTATGTTCTACCAAGAGCTGGTCTACCAGTTAAAAGGTTAAAGATTTGTTCTTAGCTACATTCAGTCTGTCAGACTCCATTTCTTCAAACTAAGGCTGCCCAGGACATATCAACTTTAAAGTGAATTTTTTACTGTTCTTCTCTAGAAATTTCTATTAAAAATTGCAGCTTCGTAACAAATAACCATAAAAATCAGGTCTAAAATACTCAGGAGTGGATCTAAGGGTGTCTCTCAATGTCAAGGCCAATGAGGACACACTATCCTTCTTTGGTCAAAGAAAACGGTTAAATGAAAGAGACTTGCATCAAGTGACCGTGGGCAGCTACCACGATGGTCAAGTCATGTTACGTGAGGTAAAGTTATATTGTATCTGTATAAGTGTCAGTATAAGCATATAATGAGCCTTTAACTTTTTAATTGTGTATACATTGGTTAAATTAAATATGTAAGCGAGCTACCTGCAAGACAGCAAAGCTGCAACTACTAACCACCTAACCAGCCATAGATAACGGCTTTGGATCTAAAAATTATATTTCATGTATCAGCCCAATAGCTACTATTAGTTGAATTACATTTAAACTGGAAATTGGCTCCCAAAGTAGCTGCCGGCTCCTGATCTGCCATCCTTTTGAAAATGCAGCGCTGTATTCTGGGTAATTTTTGACCAAGGCTAGGCTACAAGACTCCTCCCGTGTATCCTTGCTCAGCTAGCTAAATGGTTAACAAACGAAGAACAGATGACTCGGTAAAACATTTGTAACAAGCTGTTACTAAACTTTCACCAATTAAACGTTGTTTATCTCTTCACTCATTGCCAGTGATGAAGGAGAATCTTATGAGCTTGCCATTTTGCTGGATGGTGTGCTCCCAAGGATCTTTTACTCTAATGGCCATCCGTTGGTGAGGATGCTTGCTTAGGTATGTACTGCCTCCTATCGTCAGGGAAATCACACACTGTCACTTTAAATAAAATAAATCTTGTTTTGTATTTGGTTTACTAACTTGTGTTGTAATGATGCCTCTTAGCGTTACAACTTTAGTGGTAAAAAGTCAATTTCCTCCTAACGGAGTTATATTTCTAAGGAATGTGCATTTCACTTTGGATTTCTTGTCATAAACATTAAAGAATAATTGAGCAAACACTAATTTCATTTCTCTTAGTTAAACTTTTACAATGGCCAACACCCTTTTAATTACATTTCCATGAATCCCAAATTCAGAGATGCAAGAAATTCTGCGTTGAAAACACAGCTCAACACAGCACCTGCTGGACACACACACACACACACACATGTGCGCGCACACACACACACTGACATTATTGCACCCATATTTGATTAATTAGCCAGACTCTACACAAACAGTGCGATTTAAAAATATCCAACATTGCTGAGAAACACCTGCTGGTCTTTAAGGCAGCGCTAAAGCATACCCACACATGGTTTTATGGCCCAGTGTTGATACGTGCAGAATTCTCTCACATTTCCTTCAGAAAGTCAAACTAACTGCAAAAAAAAGAAAAAAAAAGAAAAAAACTTGACCACAAAGACATTCATCAAAGCATGCCACAGAAACAGAAAACCTTGTCAAGTTCATCTGTCATCAAATGCATTCATGCAATTTCCAAATTATGCGTCCTCACCCAATCCAAATATTGACTTAAGGTTTCCCACCTTTCAGGTTATGTTTCCCTTCACATATTGATTGATTAGTAGTAAGAGGAGAAGAAGAACTCAGAATGTGTGTCGGGTTTAATTATTACTTCCAGTCACAAAAAGGTGAGGCCTTACTGCAATTTTCTTTAGTCCAACAACTGTGGGAGAGGAACGTGTGGTGGGAAAGAGAAAATAAAAAAAAAGGTAGATAATATTTTTTTTATTTATTTAGAAAACAGCAGTAAAGTTTATTACATTTGTATGCATTTCATAATTAATGAAAATACATTGTTGCGAGTATCAGATCAAACAAAAACAATTTCTGTAGGGTGATTCTGGAGTTGTTGATACCTTGGTGAAGTTATTTGCTTCTCCTAACTCTACATTTAGAATATTGTGTGTGTGTGTGTGTGTGTGTGTGTGTGTGTGTGTGTGTGTGTGTGTGTGTGTGTGTGTGTGTGTGTGTGTGTGTGATCACTCATTTTAGGCTTTGTAACCCAAGTTCCTGAAACAACACCTCAGTAAACCATTGACATGCATGATAACACTGTTAGATCACAGCACGTGAGGCTTCCATCCATGGAATTCTATATTGGACACATATGCTTTTACTATCCCTTAAGCCCTTTAGGGAAGTGAACTTGGAAAGAAGACAATTCTGAGATACAGTAACGCACCAAAGCAGGTAACAAAACCAGGCCTATTTTCCCAGGAATCTGACTTGCAACCACAATTGGGATCTTTTAGGAAAGTGATTTTCTTTCAGAAGTGTGTTGTAGTACTTGATCATTCATGGAGAAAATTTGAATGCCAAAGACTTGATGATGTGTGGTTAAATATGCATGGCCACATATATTCCTATTCTTCGTTATATTTTAAATTGATTGTTTTTGTGAAGCGCCTCATGATTTTTATCTTGAGAGGCGCAATAGAAAATATTTTCTTTCTTTCTTTCTTTCTTTCTTTCTTTCTTTCTTTCTTATGCTTTTTATTTCCTTTAGGGCACTATCTTTATACTATTAAAACAAAGTTGTACTCACATGCTGCCACTGCTCTCGGATCAGAGGCCGGTATCGAAGGAAGTACTTCAGAGGGAAGCTGTCTATTTCAGGCCAGGTGGCCGGACTTTGCCAGGACACCTCCAGCCTTCTAGGGTTGAAACGGATCGGGGTCGCTGTCACACGCTCAGGCGGATCCGGTTTTACTGTGATGGGTGGAAAACCACAGTTTCAAAGCTCAAAATAAAGATGGCAGTTGCATAAAGTCTCCTGTCACTAAACAAAAATATTTTCTTTAAAACTGGAGACAAGATATCTTGTTTTTTTTTTCTTAAAATGATCAGTAGGCACAGACTGAGTCTACACATTCTCCACATCTGTGCTACAGTAGATTTAATGGGATTGTAGGTTCAGACGGCAGGATTTGGAGTCTTATTTCCTGATACTTGTACATCCCATCTCTGATTGGCTAACAACAATGCAACTCTACCACTGACTGTGCTTGCTTTGCTTTGGTTTATTTCCACAAATAACACAAACCTGAGGGAGCTTCTACAGTGTGGTGGAGTTGCTAATGCTAACAGTTAGCTTTTACTAGTTGACTCCTGGATGCTAAAACAACAGCAGTCTTTCCCGTCACATCACAGAGGAAAGAATAACGATTAAAAAAACCTAATTTACTCATGGCTCATTTAGCAAATTGATGTACTTGCAACCAGAAGTTATAAGTGTGCAGCACTTGATGGAACTGCTAAAATAAGAGTCTACTTGATGTAACACGTCCAACAGCCACCTTTATAATCCGGACAATATCTGAGATATAGCTTCCTTTAACCCTCCCACTGTCTTTATGGGTGACCCCGGGAGGAAAGTTGACCATTGAGCAGGTTTGATGGTTTATCCCTTGGGTCCACATGGCAGGGGTGAGGAGTGAGCACCACCTCACCCCTGCCATGTGGACCTCAAGGGATAAACCATCAATCCTGCTCAATGGTCAACTTTCCTCGCGGGGCCACACCCATTAGGACAGTGGGAGGGTTAAAACCTTAAACAATAAAAGCCCCAGATGGATGCATCTTGTAAATAAATTAATAAAAAATAACTTTTATTATATCTGAAGGTCATTAAAATAGTACACACCTAATGCTGGGTGCATCTTTATTCAGCCTAATCAGCCAATTAAATATTTAAAGTTTAGGGTTTACTTTGTTGCTCAGAGAATAAACAAGTAACAGCATACGATAATAAATAACAATACAAAAGAACAATAAATATCACATGCATTGCTGACATTGCTACTGATAACAATTAAAAGACACTTAGAAGTTTGAAAACTCTACTAAGGCTTCTGGCTTGAGACTGCTTGCAGTATTTTTGTTAAAACACTGATACGATCGTTACAGAAACCATGACACAAACATTTCATTATTTTTCATTTCTGCATTTTGCAACAAAAGGCTAACTGTTTAAAGTCTCAGAAATATGTTTAACTCTTTAACTTCCTGACAAACACATTCTTAATAATAATAATAATAATAATAAAGTGATGTTATATTGTAGTTTTTCATCTTAATGTGTGTTCCAAGGACATTTTTGTGAATGAAGTTTAAAGTTAAAAACCCATTAGTTGTCACACTGGTGTGTGAAATTTGTTCTTCGCATTTGACCCGTCCCCTGAAGGAGAGGTAAGCTGCAGACACGCTCATGATCGGGAACCGTTTGGGGGTTTAACCCCCCTTAATGCCAATGTCAAGCAGGGAGGCCTTGGGCCCTATTTAGTATGACCCGCACGTGGATTTGAACCCACAATCTGCCAGTCTCAGGGTGGACACTCACTAGCCCACTGAGCAAAAATTTTGCTCTACCAAGTGAGTCACTGGTATAAATGGATGATTTTAGATTTTTGTAATTTCATTTACCCTGAAAAATGCAAAACCAAAACAACAGAAGCTAAAATCATCTGCAGGAACTGTGGCAAGGCCACGGATGAAAAGCCTTCAGCCCCTGATAAAAAAGGTCAACACAAACAGTGTGTCTCTGAATATCTGTCCGCTGAGACACACAAAATGATCAGAGATTAAGAAAATTCAATTTGAAGCTTTTCAAACCATATTGAATGACCCGTTCTTTGTTAGATTGCTCCCACAAGGGAAGTCTCCTCAGACACATAAAACCTTCACTCAACCAAACATGTACATGGCACCATAACAGCAAATGGATAAGCAGAGCTTTTGATGATGATGATGATGATGATGATGAAGAAAGGTGTAACACACACACACACACACACACACACACACACAGATGAGTCAAGGACGACAGAAAGGCAGATAGTTTTTCTGCCCAGATCATCACATAATAAATAAGTACCGTATTTTCCGGACTATAAGCCGCTACTTTTTCCCCATGCTTTGAACCATGCGGCTTATAATGAGGTGCGGCTTTACTGAAGATTTTCCTTCACCTGCCAGGGGGCGCTTTAGCAGAAAGTGAAACAGGTGGAAGTCAAAAGTGGAAATCGAAGAAAGTGCTCATTTTAATTTAGCACATGAAAGCAGCCAGCGCGACGCAGAATTTTTATCAAATCCATACCCCCTCATCATGGTAACTACACGTATGAGTTCATACGTTGCCGCATTTAAGTTGAAGGCCATCAATCTGGCAGTGAAGGAGGGAAACAGTGCAGCCGCACGTAAGCTTGGCATGAATGAATCCATGGTTCGGTGCTGGAGACGGCAGTGGGAAGAACTCATTCAAGCCAGCTTCACCCGGGGATGATGACAGCAACACGGACAGCGACACTGACATCGCCACAGAAAAGGTATGTGACGAAGCTCTTCTGAGGCTGTTCAACTCTGACACTGAAGAAGAGGAGTTTAATGGCTTTAGTGCGCAGGAGGACGATGAATAAACTCATCAATAACTTTTCTGTTTTGTTTGATACTGATCAGTTCAGTTACGTTCAGTTAAACTACGTTTTCAATTCAGTAGATATCTGCGGCTTTTAGCCCGGTGCGGCGTGTGTAAGTACAGTTCCGTGTTTTTTTTAAAACTTAGTAGGTGCGGCTTATATTGAGGTTGCGCTCTATAGTCTGGAAATTACGGTAAATGATTAGATGACAGCGATAAAAACAGAGACAAATGAAGACAGCGTTCGAGGTTTTCATTTATCTCTGGTATTTATAATGTCAGTGCTTTTTTCAAGGATTACATAAATAAATACGAACACATGCAGAAAAAAACAAAACAAGTGAAACCAGAGTGAAGCTGTTGGAAAGTCAAAGGAGGCCAAACACACACCTCTCATCAGATCTCATCCAGCTTTGGTGGGATGAACAGGAACAGTTGAGAATCACCAGGAAGCACAAATTATTTTATTTATTCACGATCCACTTCATTGTCCCCATGCAAAAATAATGTGTCTTATGAGTTGGAAGAGCGAAGAGAGACTGTTAACAATGAAAAGCAGATTAAACCAGGAGGGACGGAGATTTATCGCTGAAATAAAGTATTTTCAAAGGTTCTTTTTTGACACCAGTATGAAATATTTAGCTTGCAATGTGGTGTGAATGAAAAAAGGAGGTTTCTGTAACCTCTGACTTGGTTTTTGCTTTTATCAACGGTAACATCTGTACTCTGGTATCAGTTATCCTGAAAGGAGATTGAAGTGTTCGCGAAGTGGACCGCCGTTCAAAGGAATCAGTGTGCAAAGATCAGCCAGAGTGTTGTGGAGTAGCCCGTGTCACTTACTACAGAGCTACAAATTAAATAAAGGAAAATGATGTAACAGGAGAATGTTTAAAGGTGATTTTCAAGTGTCCTTCCGTCAGTTATTTTCTACAACTGCCTGTGATGTTGCTCAAAGTGAGTGGACTCCCTAAAGGCAGGAAATACTGCTCTCACTGGAGTAATACTCATGGCTCTAGCCAGACTGGAAACAAAATTAATTTCTGGTTTTTGAAAAATATTTTGCATTCCACCAGATCCTTTAAAAGCTATATAAACTGTATTTAAACGTGTAAATGTTTGCCTTATGCTGTTTAGTTTATGCTGTGTGATACAATCATGTAGCATCTGGGTTACTACATTACCATAATTGCAACACTGCTGCTCTGATGGCCGATCCGATGTATTCAATGACTCTGGTGTTCGTGAAAACCTCCAGAGGGAGGCGACCAGGAAGCACCTCTACCAGATGCCTGAACAGCCTGAAAACTGACCCCTTTCTATGTGGAGGTGCGGCTGCTCTACTCATAACACCCCTCAAAAGATGGAGCTCCTCACTTTATCTTTACGGCTGAGATCAGCCACATTATAGAAGAAGGTAACTTTTGGCTGCTTTTGTCTGAGATCTTGTTCTTTGGGTTATGATCCACTCCCCATGGCCGTAGGAGATGTTTGCAACGTAGACAGACCATGGAGCTTTGGACGGGACGAAGACTCAACTCCCTGTTCACCTCAACAGATAAGAGCAACAGCCTCACTGTTGAAGATAAGACCTGGTCTATTTCCTATTCTCTTCTACCATCATCTGGAAACAAGCAACCTAAATATACAATATACCTAAAAAATATAAATATAATTTTTTTTTACCTCTTCCGGCGCCGTCTCGGATTGCAGCCTGTCTAGTATGCTCTCGGCAGTTGAAAAACTACTTTTCCCCTTTCTTTCTTTTTTCTGTGTCTACTTAGTTTTTTAGTCTATACTTCTTGTGTAGTCGAGAAGTTTTTTTTTGTTGCCGTGTTCGGATGCGAAATTCTGTGCAAAACAACTGAGATGACCACGACGCCATGCTGCCCTTTGCCTATAGCCGGGACCAGCTGCTGGGGCTAAGACAGCACAGCCATGCCGGTGTTCAGCATGAGATTCCCGCGGTGATCAAGAGGAACTACCGTGGCTGCAGAGCGGGAAAAACGCGAAGACTGAGGAGGAAAAGATTCCGTCCTGCTCTCCCGTCTGTGGTTACTGGCATTGTCAGATCGCTGGTTAATAAGATGGAGGAGATCGCGACGCTAACAAGGAAGGAGAAAGTTTTCCGAGAATGCAGTGTTATGCGTTACATGGAGACATGGCTTCACAAACACATCCCGGACCAGGTGGTGGATATAAATGGATTTACGTGTGTGAGAGCAGACAGGGACTCGGGCAGTTGTGAGAAGAAGAGGGGAGGAGGACTCGCTCTTTATGTTAACAACCGCTGGTGTTC